GTGTGTGAGTGTGAGTGTGTGTTTAAAGCAGTTCCAGGTAGTCTTTTCAGTGTATCAGAAGTTTGGCTCATGACTTCCATTGGAAAATAGGTGTTGGGGAAAGGGATATTGGGGGGAAGTCGAGTATTTTATTAGTTTGGAGACCCATTTGCTTTTGAATGGATTAGTGCATCAGGCATCTATCTTCTTGAAAAGCAGGATGCAAGGCAGAGCCAAGATGGGGGAGTAAAAGCAGTGACTTGCTTGAGCTCTCCGCCAAACCCCTGCAAATACTCAAAAAATGGCTCTAAACAAACTCTGAAGCAGCAGAACCCACAAAAAGACAGAGTGAAACAAATTTCCAGCCCAAGACAACCTGGATGATTGATCAGAAAGGTGTATCACGCCAGGCTGGGAGTGCAGCGCAGCGCGGGGTGGGCACGCAGGCCACAGCAAACCTGGAGCAGGCCTCAGAGGACTGAATTGCGGGGTTTCCAGACTCCTCAATCCACCAATGCCAAAGACAACTTAGAAGGTCAGTGGGAAAAGTCTGTTTCTGTCGGTGCTGAGAAAGGAAGGTGGGGTTTCAGCTCCATTCCCCAAGAGCGTGGCCCTGTGGGGGGGGCAGCTGCTTCCTGAGCTTCCGGCCCACAGACTGAGGGGAAATCCAGTGGCTGATCAGAGAGGGATTGCAGGGATCTCTTTGCCAGTGCTGAGACAGGAATCTCTTGCTTTGCCCATGTGTGGATCTGGGTCACAGTTCTGGGTGTCAGTGTTGGGGTGAGGAGGAGCGCTGGCGTGGTGGAGCTTGTAGTGATTGTGGAGAGGAGTACCTCCTCACAGTTACAGGACAGAAAGGAGTACTTGTAGTTGCAAGCCAGGAAAGGAGTAAACACCTCACCCCCTTATCATACCACCTTGGAAGAACTGAAAATTTACAGGTCCCTACAAGTATCTCTGAAAACAGCTACACAAACCCCAGAAGCTTGGGACAGTACACTCTCCACATTGGAAGCAGACTCTTACCTTAACAAAGAGTTTAAAACTCAAGTAATTGTCTGGGATCATGAGCAAGCAGCGCAAAAAGAGTCAGACTATATTATCTTACTTTGGTGAAAAAGAAGATCAAAATATACAACCAGAAGAAGACAACAAAGTCAAAGCTCCTACATCCAAAGCCTCCAAGAAAAATATGAATCAGTCTCAGGCCTTGGAAGAGCTCAAAAGGGATTTTGAGAAGCAAGTAAGGGAAGTAGAGGAAAAACTGGAAGAGAAATGAGAGTGATGCAAGAAAATCATGAAAAACAAGTCAACAGCTTGCTAAAGGAGACCCAAAAAAATACTGAAGAAAATAACACCTTAAAAAATAGCCTAACCCAAATGGCAAAAGAGGTCCAAAAAGCCAATGAGGAGAAAAATGCCCTAAAAAGCAAAATTGGCCAAATGGAAAAGGAAGTCCAAAAGCTTACTGAAGAAAATACTTCCTTAAAAATTAGAATAGAGCAATTGGAAGATGGTGACTTTATGAGAAATCATGACACAGTAGAACAAATCCAAAAGAATGAAAAATTAGAAAACAATGTGAAATATCTCATTGGAAAAACAACTGACCTGGAAAATAGATCCAGGAGAGAGAATTTAAAAATTATTGGACTATCTGAAAGCCATGATCAAAAAAAGAGCCTAGACATCATCTTTCAAGAAATTATCAAGGAAAACTGCCCTGATATAGTAGAACCAGGGGGCAAAATAGAAATTGAAAGAATCCACTGATCTCCTCCTGAAAGAGATGCCCAAAAGGAAAACTCCTAGGAATATTATAGCCAAATTCCAGAGTTCCCAGGTCAAGGAGAAAATATTACAAGCTGCCAGAAGGAAACATTCAAGTACTGTGGAAACACAATCAGGATAACACAAGATTTAGCAGCTTCTACATTAAAGGACCGCAGGGCATGGAATATAATATTCCGGAGGGCAAAGGAGATAGGATTACAACCAAGAATCACCTACCCAGCAAAACTGAGTATAATCCTTCAGGGGAAAAAATGGTCATTCAGTGAAATAGAGGACTTTCAAGCATTCTTGATGAAAAGACCAGAGCTGAATAGAAAATTTGACTTTCAAATACAGGACTCAAGTGGAACATGAAGAGGTAAACAGGAAAGAGAAATCATAAGAGACTTATTAAGATTGAACTGTTTACATTCCTGCATGGAAAGATGATATTTATAACTCATGAGACCTTTGTCAGTATTAGGGTAGTTGAAGGAAAAAAATTATATGTATGTATATGTAGATAGATAGATAGAGGGCACAGGGTGAGTTGAAGATTAAGGGGTCATATCTGGAGAATAAAATTAAGGGATGAGAGAGGATTATACTCAGAGAAGAAGAAAGGGAGAGGTAGAATGGGGTAAATTATCTCACAAAAAAAAAAAAGAAAAGTCTCTTACAGTGGAGGGGAAACGGGGGAAGGTGAGAGGGAATGAGTGAATCTTATTCTCATAGGATTTGGCTTAAGGAGGGAATAACATACACATTCAATTGGGTATGGAAATCTGTCTTACCCTACAGGAAAATAGGGGGAGAAGGGACAAGAGAGCAGGGGATGATAGAGAGGAGGGCAGATTGGGAAAGGGGTAATCAGAAGTAAATACTTCTGAGGAGGGACAGGGTCAAAAGAAAGAATAGAATAAATGGGAGGGCAATAGGATTAAGGGAAATAGAGTTAGTTTTTCACAACATGTCTACTGGACATGTTTTGCATAACTGCACATGTACAACCTATATTGAGTTGCTTGCCTTTTCAATGAGGGTGGGTGGGGAGGGAGGAAGACAGAAAATTTGAAACCTAAAGTTTTAAAAACGTATGTTTTAAAAAAAAATGTTTTCACATGCTACTGGGAAATAAGAAATATAGGAAATGGGATACAGAAGTCTGTCTTGCCCTACAGGAAAATAGAAGGGGAAGGGGATAAGAGAAGGGGAGAGAGATAGAAGAGAGGACAGACTAGGGGAAGGGATATTCAGAATGCATGACATCTTGGGTTGGGGGGAGGGGGGAGATGGGGTGAAAATTTGGAGCTCAAAAACTTGTGGAAGTGAATGTTGAAAACTAAAAATAAACAAATTTATATTAAAAAAAAAGAAAAAATATCAAGTGATATGAAATGGAAAAAAAAGAAAAGCAGGAGGCAGCCCTAAGCGCTTAAGGATTTGTTTTCAATAGCTTGTAACTAAGCACTCTCTGTTCCCTAGCTGACAAGACAGCTCATTCTCTTCAACAAAAATATTGGCTAAGTCAGCTCTCTTAACAACTGGGAGTTTTCTTTCAAAATCTTCGAGAAGTGTTCAGTGAGGGCTTTGGGGGATTTTTTTTTTAATCACAAAGATCATTTAAAAATTCTAAGAATCAATCCATCACCAAGCATTTGTTGGGTGCCCGCTGCATGCCAAGGCCTGTGTTAGGCTCCAGAGAACCACCAAGACAGTCTCTGCCCTCAAAAAGCTCAAGTTCCATTTGCTGGGTGGGACATGTGAATGTAGAGCTATATGCAAAATTAATGGAAGGCAAGACACAGCTAGGGAGGGGGATAAAGGAGGGGAGCAGGGAGTGTAAAAAGTAGAGATGAGGAAGGAGGACATTCTGGGCTTGGTATAAAAGTACAGAGGTGGGGCAGCTAGGTGGCACAGTGGATAGAGCACCATCCCTGGAATCAGGAGGACCTGAATTCAAATTCAGCCTCAGACACATAACACTTACTGGCTGTGTGGCCCTGGGTGAGTCACTTAACCCCATTGCCTAGCCAAAAAAAAAAATTTTTTTTAAAGTACAGAGGTGAGAGACTGCAAGCATTTATTAAGCACTTACTGTGTGCTGAGAATGCAAATACAAGCCAAAAGGCAGTCCCTGAACTCAAGAAGCATAGTTCTAATGGGAAAGGTGATATGTAAAAGGGGCTAGATAGGTGGGTGTGAACAGGTGAGGGACAGGCTAGGAATCAGGAATGTGCTCAGAACTGGCTTGGGGGGGGGGGTCTGAGAGGAGCTGTCCAGTCCTAGGAAGAGGCGAAGGGAAAGAGGATCCTTCTCCTGTGTGAACTCCAGGACTGGAAGGAGCTTCCAGGATGAGGAGATTTGTGGGGTGTGGGAGATGAAAGTCTGGGAAAGTCAGGAATGCAGCTTGGGGAGGAATGAATGGGAGATGGAGTGTCATATGTGAAGAACAGTTAGAAGGCCAGTTTGGATGGACAGTTGGTGATGGGTGAGTGAATGAATGAATGAAAAAACAATTTGTTCAATGCTTATTAAAAGTGGAGGGTATAAATAGAAAAGCTAAACCATTTTGGTTTTCAGGAAGCTGTCTTTCTAATTAGGGGAAACAACACCTTCACTATAGGCTAATTCAGAACAGGACAGATGGAAATGCCCAGAGGAAATGCCTTGAGTGATGGGTTGAGAGCAAGGCCCAGGGCTCCTTAGGTGCTTCTGCCTTGCAGGGCAAGATTTCACCATCATTAGGGAAAGGGGGGAGGGCCTAAGGGTGTGAGTGGAGTCCGAGGGCCCTGCTTGGCATCCAGGACTGGCCTGGGACCCTGCCTATGGGCATGGAAGGGAGTGATGTGAAATGAGTCACTGGGGCCAGGTTGTCAAGGAATATAGTTAATCCTAGAGGTGATTCAGAGGTGTGAGAAAAATTCCAAGAATGCTGGTTGGTAATATTTGTTTTTCATTCTTGGTCCTAAGTGCTTCCTTAATCTATGGAGTTTCTGACTCTGTGGATTTTTTGCCTTTCAGTGAAGGCGATTCTTGCCTCCCCAGCTCAGCTGGCTGCTTTGGTTTCTCCCTTAAAGGCAAAGGGAATCTTTTCATTCTGTGGAAGACATTTTTGGTTTCCTTGAAAATAATGATCACTGTTCCTGGGAATGGAGCTTGGGGTCTCCTTAACGTAGCTGTTCTCTCCATGCTGCAGATTGCAGCCCACAAGTACCTGCTTCTCATCCTATGTAACTTGTCCACAGCCTCCCATGAGGTGACCCCCCCCCGGAGTCCAGCAGGGACCCTGCTTTGCTTTCTGGTGACATCCCAGGGAAACATTGTGGCTGTCCACTGTGTCATCCCTCAGTCTTGCCTCAACCCATAAAACAGAGAATCCTTTTCTTAAAGATCCAGTTCATCTCAAGGTAAGCACAGTCTGGAGTCCCTCTGGACTGTTTCTTTGTATGTGTGTGGAGGGGGTCACTCCAGGCCTCATTCTGGAGGCTCTGCATTTCACAGGCTCACTAATATAGAGGTGGAGGAGGTGTCCTGGACCATCTCATGCAATGCCTCCTTTGACATTTAGCACTTGCTGCCTCTGACCTTGGTAGAACAAGGCCCCAGAGGGTGGTTGACCACTTCTGCCCTTAGGGTTTCTCTTCGGGTTGTTGCGGTGTGAGAGATTGAGGGGTTGTGACCTCTCAAAGACCAGAGTACAGGACAGGTCATCTGGAATGAATTCACAGACTCAAGCATTCTTTAATTCAAGGTGGCAAAGATTTATTGTTACGCTTTTCAGCGAGCAAGGATTCTTAAAGGATCCACAACCTTAGAGAGGTACAATTGAAGTTTACATAGGATAAAATACAATAAAACATGTACCAAATATGCTACCTAGGGATTCAGGGTGGGATTAGGGAGTGGTTAAGGAGCGGTCAGTTCTTAAAAGAACATGCACTTCTTGTACCTACTGCGCAAGTGTTTTACCCAGAGTTCATTAGGAAAAGCCCACAAGGGGGGGCCACATGGAGGTGTGGTTTTAGGCCTGCTACGTCACTAAGTCAACCAGAGTTCAGGGTAACTGAGAGTTGTCCAGTCTGCCACCAATCAATGTCTTGTTTGACAAGATAGATGTAGGTAGTATACATATGTCTTAAGTGTAGAATAAAGTTAATGAGGAGCCCAGGATGTAGATAATAAGGTAGGGTGGTAGGATAGTATAGTAGTGGGTAAGAATGTCTTTATGACCCAGTGCAAAGCCAGTTTAAACTAATAAATCCTTCAGGTGCTCTTTGGAACTGCACCACGGAGTGGGCTGGGGCCCACTCATGAGTAATTGCTAAGCACAGGGTCCTTGTGCTGGGGAGAAACTGTCAGGGACAGTGTTTCTGAGGCTAGGGAGAAATTGGGGTCCAAGTACAAGCACCCAAACACAAGCACCCAAGCACCCCGTTAGGGTCACTTAAAAGTCTCACAAGTATTCTCCTCATTGATAACTAGTCAATCAGCCTCGGTTAGATTTTGTGAAACATATTTTATACACACTATATGGTGTAGGAGCAACTATAGTTACCCCCGCCAAAAAAAGACTAGGGCCCACACTCTTTTCCACCTGCACATGTAGAGAACACACATGGCCCAAAGCTAAGTCCCCGCTCTTGGCTCCTAGAACTCTTTGTCCCTCTGAGGGGCCCTCGGGGAATGTCCTTTATGTGTACACAGCTCTCTCCAGGAGCTCTGAGGGTTTATGCCTCTGTCCAGTCCCTGGCTGGCACTTCCCTCCGCCACGGGGTGGGAGCACCCCTGAAGTTGCCTTCCGCTCCAGGTGGCCGTCCGTTGCTGGATCCATTGTCTGCTACTAATCCAACTTCTCCAATAAGTTGGTCAATGGAGGAGTAGCACCCCCTGCCCCTCTAGCCTGGAGATTCCTTCCCAAGGGCTTGTCTTGAATGCAGATCCTCCAAACTGGACATCTTCCACAGGTTGATTGGACCACTGCTTGGCTATCAGTTTGCCAAATGCAATTCTTGACCCAACTGAATAGGATGAAGGGGTTCACAAGGTGTAGACAGTCTTGTTTAAACCTAATCTGCCAATTGGTTGATTGTGGTAGGGGTGGGGGAAAACCCCTCCCTTACATACAGATTGAGGAACTGAGGCCCAGACAGATGAAGGGATTTGCCCAGGGTTACAAAGGGAACTAAACAAAGGTGATGCTGGGACCCAGGGCCAGCCGGCTCTTTCAGGACAACCTTCGGCTGGAAGCAGCAGCTTGCCATAGAGGATTTCTACCTGGAAAGGCCAGGTCCTGGCTCATGGGGGTCATGCCCTTCTCCTTTGGACTGATGTGGGTGGGCAGGCCCCTGGGGCAGCCGGGCATTCTATCTGGGCAAGGAAGTTGGTGTGAGGCGGCCCATCAGTCAGCTGTGACCGACTGCTCTCCCTTCGCTTGAGTGGACCCTCCTTCCTCCTGCACCACCTTTCCTAAAGGATCTTGCTAGCAGGCCTGTCTCTCCAGCACAGGAAATCCCGAAAGTCTCTTTGGGAACGAGGTCAAACCCATCCTGTGACTTACTTGGGCCTGTGTGGAAACTCTTGAATGGGAGGTAAATGATGCACATGAGAAGTTGCTGAACACCCACTGGGCTGACAAAATCCTCCTCATCCTCACTCCGTCCGGTGCTTCTGTGATGTTCGCCGTACATCTCGTCTGGGCCTTGTGCACCCCCACATCACAACCCTGTGAAATGGGTCCTCATGGCTGTAGTTGTCCTCTTACTAATGAGGAAACGAGACATAGTCAGGTATGAGCCAGAATGTGTCTGTCAGGGGCTGGACTGGAACTCAGTTCTTCCTGACTTCAAGGCCAACCCTTTGGCCATGACGGCTGCCTTCCTAATCCCCATTCCTTATGATCATAATGGGACAGGCTTAACTTCTCTAGATGACAGATTCCTCCTGTGAGGACTTTTACAGCTTTCATAATCTTGGTAGAAATGTCTCTTTTCCTGCCATATGGAGTGGGAGCAGCTGTCCAGTCCTACCATTGAGTGATAGGATAGAAAGGGTTAGTGGGCAGCTGCAGCCTCTGGAGCCCTGCAGTGGGACAGTTCCCATGGTACACTGTGTCCATTGTGGGGTGAGCCACAGGGAATTGGACATAGTCCTAAGTGGATGTCCAGGAACACCCAAGCCGGACAAGGATGAGGCAGCCCCAGGGGGCATGTCAAGGCCACGGTGCTGCTGAGACAAGGCCAAGTGCCGACATGAACTAAGAGCGGGGCCGGGCGAAAGCAGACTGGGACCTCCTAAAAGTGTCCACCTCTAGCTTGCCTTTACTAGGCCTGCTGGGTGGAATTCAGCAACCAGGATTTACACAAAGCTAAAGGTCACCTCCCACCCCACCCCCCAGCACAGCGAGGACTCTGAGCACAAGAATAATGGGGTGCAGCCTCTTCACCAATCAGCAGTGGCCAGAGGCTCCTCTTGCCACCACTGAAAAGCCCTGAGGCAGGAAGATTCCCAGTCTAGGGCACAGCTGGCCAATAAATGTTTCTCAGTGACCACGCCCACCCGGAAGTGGGTTGTGCCCAAGTCAACCCTCCACCCTCCAGGTAGGGTCTGACCCTGGTAATCTGATCATTCCTTCAGATCCTCCCCGCCTCCCCTTAGCATGCTGGGAAGTCTTGGCCTAGGGAAAAACTTCAGGCACTTATCCAATGAACAGTACACTCCTGAGGGCTTTCAGGCCTGTCTGGCCAGTGTCCCCTTCAGCCTGGCCTCTGCAGGAGTCCCCACATGGATCTATACCCCTGGCAGAGCTCCAGGGAAGATTAACCTGGGCCTTTCTATTTATTTCTTCTGTGACCTGGAGCAAGTCACTGGGCCTCAGTCTCCTCATCTGTTAAATGAGAAGATTGGACTGGGCTGCTAAGATTCCTTCCAACTCTTGAGCTACATCTTTATGTTCCCTGGAGTGTAAGAGTCTCCAGTGGGAGCTTGCTGACCAGTACCTTTCTGCTAGCCACAGGAGGGAGGGAGCTGGGAAGAGCTTGCTTGAGATAACATTCACTGATGAAAAGGGACCCCAGGGGCAGCTAGGTGGCTCAGTGAAGACAGCACCTGCCCTGAGTTCAAATCCAGCCTCAGACATGTAACACTCACTAGCTGTGTGACCCTGGGCAAGTCACTTAACCCTGATTGCCTCATCAAAAAGCAAAAAAAAAAAAGAGACCCCGGACTAGACTTGTGTCTGAGAATGTGGCTATGCTCTGCACCCTTTCTCTGGGCCTGAGGAAGAGCAGCAGCTTCGGTCATTGAAGGTGAGGGTTCGCCACTTGCCCCGTGGCCCTTTTTGCACGATGGGAGTAGGGAAGGGTATTTAATTAATTAGCCCAGCCACTCACTCCCCTCTTTTTGTCCAGAACAAATGAAAAGAAATTTTCTGAGGAAGCCACTCTGCCTATGAGACAGTATGTGGCAGAGGCAGCAGTCTCCAGGGTTAACTTGTTATGAGACGTTTTAGCAGAGATGATGAGACAGGCGACATCACCCACCTGACCTGGCTCCAGCCGCTCCCACACAGCCTTGCATATCCGTCCCTGTACCAACTGTCCCCCATCCCTACCCTCATTCTCTTACAATTCCGAGTTTCCTTCCAGATTTGGCTCAGACACCACTTTCTGCCAGGTCTTTCCTGGTCTCTCACCTGCCCCTTCCCACAGCAGTGTGTAGTTATAAGTTATACAGCTGTTCTGTAGTTATCTTTTTTTTGTTTGTTTTTATTTTGGGGGTTTTTTGGTGAGGCAGTTGGGGTTAAGTGACTTGCCCAGGGTCACACAACTAGTGAGTATGAAGTGTCTGATGCCAAATTTGAACTCAGGTGCTCCTCACTACACGGGCCAGTGTTCTATTCACTGCACCACTTTGCTGCCCCTTGCAGTTATCTTTTATAAGCATCTAAGTGGTAAATGGATAGAGACTTTGTCCTGAATATTTACTAGATTTATGATGCTGGGCAAGTCACTTAACCTTTATCTGCCTCCCTTTCCTCTTCTACAAAACAGGAATAAAATTATTCTTGTCTCCTAGCTTGTTTGGGGAGCTAATGAAATAATATTTGTAAAGCACTTTACAAACCCTAAAGCCCTATGTAAATGCTCACTGTTATCATTTTGTATATTCATTTATGTACATGCTGCCTACCCCTTTAGAATATAAGCTTCTTGAAGGCAGGGACTGTTTTTGCTTTTTCTTCTGTATTCCCCAGGGCCTGGTGATTGAGGCTTTTTACCTATGGAAGAAAAAGGCTTTGAAACAGGCTTGGCTTTTTCAATGTCTCTTTGATCTAAATTCACCTTTGACTGAGGTCCTTTCCATCCCCAATTCCTTGGCCTCCCTTTCTTGAACAGAGAAGAGTACTGTT